TGTACATCAGGATGTCTAGTAAGAAATCATTGGCATCATCTAGAAAAGAAAAAATGCAAACCGTTTCATAAATAAGTCATCTGTTTTGTATTTGTAAAGTGGATGCTTCAAGTCCACTGAACATAAGATACAGTGTGAACAGCGATACTAAGTGCAGTGTAGTAGGAGTATCTAACTTTGTGATTGCAGGCGGGTCTTTTTTAAAATCTAATTTAGTTGAAGCAGTCCCCCCAGTCCTCATTTTTCATATATTATAGTCAACCTGTCATCTTAATGAACTGTTACAGTGGAGTATCACAGATGGTGTCAGGTAGGCATATTAATATTAACAGCCTCCAACCATCTGTTTTATTTCCATTGCCAGTAAGAAAAACCTGGAGACCAAGAATTGTTAAAAAGGGTAAACATTTTATTTCCATTGCCAATAAGAAAAACCTGGAGACCAAGAATTGTTAAAAAGGGTAAACATTTTAACTAACAACTAGTTGAATTAATGTATATATCTCTTCTAGATTCTGAACGCTACTCACTTGCATCCACTGGTTTTAATAGGTGTGAAACGCTAATAGTTGCCATGTTCTTAAGAGTGCTCTCCTAGTTTTCTAGGATAGTCTGGAGTGAAGAAACAAACACACTATGCTATGCTAGATATTTTGATATTTTTAGAGACGTTAAAATGAAAACTCCTTCTCACATTTTTTGAGTGCCATACTGTTGAAACCATTGCAATCAAGTACAGGTTGGACCTCCCAGATCCAGCACCGTTGGGACCTGACTAGTGCCGAACATGAGAATTTGCCGGACCAAGGGGTATCCCCTGCCACCTACCCTGAGCCAGCTGGCTTCTGCCTCTGGCCCACTCTGCTGCCTCCCCAGCCAGGCTGTCCATCATGCTGCCCCTCTTCTCCCCTAGGCTCTGGGCTGCCATAGGTTCTCCGCCTCCAGCACTGGCTTCGCGCTGCCCTGGATGGCCAGTTTTCCCTGGCTCTGCGCTGCCGCATGCTGCCGGGCAACCCCATGCTGCCGCTGGTAGATGGGGTTCTCCAGCTCACAGCCCCGCACTGCCTGAGTGGCTAAGGTTCCCTGCCCCACACTGCCGTGTGCTGCCGGGCTTCTACAGACCTTAGCCCTGTGCTGCTGCGGGTAGCCAGGTTTCCCCAGCTTCACGCTGCTGCACGGTACCGGGCTTCTCCGACACCCAGCCCCATGCTGTTGAAGGCAGATGGAGTTCTCCAGCCTCCGGCTCCTTACTGCTGTGGACAGCCAAGGTTCCCAAGCCCCGCACTGTCACATGCTGCTGGGATTCTACGGCCCCCGTGCCAGCCTCTGCACTGCTGTGGGGCTTCTCTGGCCCTGAAGCCCCCAGCCCTGGCCGGGCTGCTGGTCTTCCTGCCATTAGGCTCCCAGGCTTTCTGGTCCAGGGATGTTGTTGGACCAGAGAGTGCCAGATTTTAGAGGTGCAACCTGTCCTGGTCTACTAGATTGTCTGGTAAGAACATAGTAAAGAATTTTTGTCAGTGAAATTATTTGTTCATAATCAAAAGATGGGAAGGATTACAAATTTCTTCTTTTTTCCTTTAAAATGGATAATTGTACTTTACATTATTTAAAAATTCAAACCGAGGTAATACTTGTAATGTGTGTATGTTGGAGGAGGGGAGGGGAGGAGAAAGCTAATGTTTTGATGTGAGGGGAGAAAATCTCCAAAAAAAATTGTATTACAAAAGTAAATTTTTATAGGATGCTTTGTGTTCATATTTTGAATGTGGGAACTGTGCGTAACTTTATGTATAAAAGTCCCCATGGAAGATAGTAGGGCAATAAATTATAGTTAATTGATTATTCAATTAACTGTGAAATAGGGCAGTACTCTGTAATGTATCTTGTATAGAATTAGTTATAGCGTAAATGGTGATTGCGATTAGATTTCCAGAGGGGCCACACTGAGATTTCCTTTGCAGTTTGCCTTACTTGAGCATAGGGCAGACAATCCCCAAAACTGGTGGTTATTCTAATACTTAGATTCACCAAGCTGGCATCAAAAAGCTTCCACAGTGCCTTACTGGTTACTCAAAAGTAAAAAATGCAGTTTCCTTAAAGCAGCCGAGACTTGATTGCCAAGTATGATGAGGATCACTGAAAATCTTGTTCTGCCAATCCCAAAGTATCAAATACTTAACACACTAACTTAATGGTTATCTCAGATCTTACCCAGAAACACGCTTATAGCCCATTCTTATTTAATAAACTAAGATTTAGCAAAAAAGAAAATCGCATGAAGATATGAATCAAGTTCTAAGGTTAGTTTATTTAGCAAAAAAGAAAATCGCATGAAGATATGAATCGAGTTCTAAGGTTAGTTTCATAGGGTATGTCTACACTTGCACCCTCTTTCGAGAGAGGGATGCAAATGAAGAGATTTGAAATCGCAAATGAAGCCAGGATTTAAATATCCCGCTCTTCATTTGCATATTCACATATGGTGCTATTTCGAAATAAGAAGACGTGGTTATTTTGAGAGAAAACCCTTCTCTCGAAATAACCCTTATTCCTCATACAATGAGGTTTACCATTTATTTCGAGCGAAGGGTTTTCTTTCGAAATAACCACGTCTTCTTATTTCGAAATAGCACCATATGTGAATATGCAAATGAAGAGCGGGATATTTAAATCCTGGCTTCATTTGCGATTTCAAATCTCTTCATTTGCATCCCTCTGTCAAAAGAGGGTGCAAGTGTAGACATACTCATAGTGAGCTTGTAGAGTTGCAAAGAGTCCTTTTCAGAATCACTTCATTAGGTTATAGTCCAATATCAGGGTGATCTAGAAAGGAACCAGAGTCCTCACTTTTGTGATTCAAACTTCCTGTGATGAAACTTAAGCTGAACTAAGATTAAAAGATTAAAAGGTCTTTAAAGTGCTACCAGACTATTTGTTATTTTTTAAGTTTATCCTGTACAGACTAACTTGGCTACCCCCTGAAGGCTGGAATCCCTGAGCCTTGATTCCCCTCCATTCTCTGCTGGTGCTGGAGCTGTCCTAATGGTGATCAGGGAAGTTCTTCTTCGTACCTTGCCTGCAGGTGCTGTGTCCCCAGCTTGCATTGGCCAGGAACAGCACCCTCCCCCATTTTAACTCCCTCCCTGAGCCCGCACTCCTAGTCCAGAGCCCTCTCCTGCACCCCACTCCTGCCATCTTCTGTTCCAACTCAGAGCCCAAACCCTCTCCCACACCATAATCCTCTGCCCTAGCCCTGAGCCCCTCCCTCACCCAAACTCCCTCCCAGACCGTGCACCCTCACCCCCAGCCCTGATCTTGCTTCTGCACCTGAACCCCTGCCTACACTCCACACCCTTATCCACACCCCAGGCCCCCCGTTCTAAGCCCACTCTGGCATTCCAAAATCTCTTGGCCCCAACCTGGAGCCATCTCTCACACCCTAGAGTCCCTCTGTGGCAGCATGGAGTTCTCTTTCACATCCTGAATCCCTCCTTTGTGTCCCCATGCTAGAGCCTAGGACAGTGGTCCCTAACACGGTGCCCGCCGGGGCATTTATGTGCTCCCGCTGAAACATCTGGGCTGGCTCCTTCCCAGGCACGTGGCACATGGGCGGCCCCTGCCCAGGGCGCACAGCACATGCGCAGTGCGTGAGTGGCCCCGCCCCTGGACTCCCGGCAGCCACGGAAGGTTGTGGATCACTGGCCTAGGAGAAGCCCTGAGCTGTGTGTCACCTGAGTGATTTTTTTCTGGGGGTCAGTGGTTCCTGATAGGAAAAAGGTTTTCCCTGATAGGAAAAAGGTTCCCTGGTTTACATGGTTAACATCTAACAAGGTACAAGTAAACACATACAATTAGTATTCCCTCTAATTCTCTGATAATACTGGCTTGTATTTCAAAGTGGTAGTCTATCTAACACAGCCCTAATTATTTTCGTGCTTTCCTAACATGTCTCTAAAGGTTGAATTGGGTCATTTAGTTGTTTAATCCTTTTTGGCTTTATTGTCACAGTGACAATAATGCAGGCTCCTAGATCATCCTTCCTCACGTCTTCCATAATCAAAAATAAAAACAATAAATGGAACTAAGTGCTTTTGAATTTCACGATAATGCAGTTGTACGGAACAGACTACACAGTGATTCCTACAGAAGACTTGTACTCCTTACAGGAAAATTAGGGTTCTACATGTTTTGTGCACGCAAGATTTGGTCCAGCTGCACTCACATGAGCAGTTGTATTCTATTTAATTATCTGTAATCTGCCTAAAAATAAATTCCAGAATCTGAAAATCCTAACTCTTGATTTTGTACTCTGCAATGGTAGGGTAAATTTATAAATTCCAGAATCTGAAAATCCTAACTATTGATGTACTCTGCAATGGTAGGGTAAGTTGAATTGTTATGGCTGCTTTCATACAGCGTTTTCTGCTTTTATTTGTTTGTTTCAATCTTTTCATACTCTATTGAAGTTGACTTTAACAACATCCCCCCTGCTCCTGATACCTATCTATTGATGGAACAAATCACTTTTTATGAGGGCAGGAGTGCAGAGAAACATGGGTTGTGGCTCCTACAGATTTCTCTTGTATGCAATAATTGTGATTTTAGAACAGGAAAGGAGTGTTATTGTTTTATTGTTAATGGGGACAATTTTTGAGCTATATGAGCATTTCAGTAAAATTGAGCAGGGGTTCTCAAACATCATTGCACCGTGACTCACTTCTGACAACAAAAATTACTACATGACCCCAGAGGGGGGACCAAAGCCTGAGCCTGTCTGAACTCTGCCTCCCCAGGCTGTGGTATGCTATTCTTGCACAGCTCCCATTTGCCAGCACCATTTCCCGTAGCTCCCTTCGGCTGGGAACAGCACGAGAACACTAAGGAATAGTTACTCACTGCTTAAGTACTGTGTCCAATCTAACTAGCTCAAGCATTAGAAAAGATTCTGAAGCAGTGGGCTTAGTTTTTCCAAATCAGTTTGAATTTTTTCACACTCCTCTCCTTCAATTTCTCTCTCCTGGTTTCAGATCAGTTCTCAGTTCACAAAGCGGATCCAGAGTAAAATCCGAGACCTGCTGCAACAAATGGAAGAGGGGCTAAAGACAGCTGACCCACATGACTGTTCTGCATATACTGGCTGGGCAGGTGAGAAGTCTGGGATATTAATAGAACATTTTAAATTAACTGGCTTATTGTCGTCCCTGATGATTTACACTCAGGTGTGAGTATTTTGTGTTCTGACAGAAATGGCAATTGCATCATAATCTCGTGGTAGGTCTGTATGAGCCTGATTTTGCAAGGTTCTGGGTTCCTTGGCTGTTAATATTAGTGGGAGCATACTCACTTGAATTGAATGGACATTGGACCTGGCCCTAAGAAAGAAAATTGGTTTCTGTACTTTAGGAGACGTACTGCACAAAGAGAGTATATCATCAAAGACAAGTTTACTTTTTTTGTTTATTTTAAAAATGTTTTACTGATGCAGAGTATTTTCCCCTTTGTCCATGAAATTGAATTGTGTTTCATGATCCAGTGGCTGATGGCCAGACAGCTGTGGAAGTAGGAGAGTGAGAGAGGGGTTTGTTTTGCACCCAGGAGTCAGGAATTCTTGCTCTGACCTAAACACTTTTCCACATGGAGCTGGATAAATGTTGTGGGATGTGATGGATGGGGAGGGGTAATACCCTTTTCTAGACATTCCAGCATTCAATAACTAAATTGCCTGTAAAGGGTTAAACCCAGAACATTAGGTATCCAGGAAATGTTGGCAGGGAGCCAGGAGAGCCAATGGAAAGAGAGTGAGTAATGTGAAATGAAACAGGTTGTGCTTGCTTCACTCTCCTTTGTGTGTGAGTTCAGAGCGAGAGCTGGGAGAGAATGGACTGAGCCAGGAATAAGGCATGGATTTTCCAGCAATATCCATGTCTAAGAAAACTAACAAACCTTAAACTTTGGAACAACCAGGGTGTAAGTAGAACAGGAAATGTTTATTTAGGCACGACCAGGCTATTTTTTTATTTTGTGGTTTGTCAACTGTTTGCTGAATCTCAGGGGAACAAGTCTCTGTGCTTTTTTATTTAGGCACGACCAGGCTATTTTTTTTATTTTGTGGTTGTCAACTGTTTGCTGAATGTCAGGGGAGCAAGTCTCTGTGCTTTTAATCAGCTTTTTTTTCAGTTGCTCTGTAACACCTTGCAACCAAGCATGCTTTACAATATGTATCTTCTTTGTTTTGTTAATAAAATCATCTTTTTAAGACTGCGATCTGATTCCTGTGTCTTAGAAAGCAGGAGATTCTGTGTCCATGTGCTTGAGACAGAGAAGTCATCTATTAGAAATTACAGTTTGTTTTCAAACTCTCTCCTAAGTCAGAGTTAAAGAGTTTGGGGTTATCCCACAGGAAGAAATTCCCAAGTACATCTTCCTGGCTTCAAGAGCTTTTTGCATCTGGGTGGAGGCAGCGTACCACCCAAGGTCAGGGAATCTGTGATATTGAAGAGTGTTTTAAGCAAAACCCCTTTGGGCCAAGATATTTTAAGAGATTTTGTGGGCCACTCAAAATGCCAGAGTGGGGGGCAGCCTTGGCACGGGGACTGATAATTGAATATTAAGGAATGCTTCGAAAATTAAGTGCTATGCAAGTGCAATGAAAAATGTCAATTAGCCAGCTTGATCTTCATGGCAAAAAATGCCGTCGTCGAGTTTGATTTTTCTAATTCACCTGCATACGGCTCTTCTAGTTGCCAAAAGATTTCTCCATCTTGGCTCACCTCTGTGTTTTGGCGTGATTAGGAGCAGGGTTCACACTAGTGTTCTAATGGTTACTCTGTAGACAGTTTTGAAGTTGAGGATCATGCTAGCATTCAGGCCCTGAATTCACACCCTTCCCTAGCTTCTGAGCCCTAGCTTGTCTGCACAGCCAGTTTTAAAGCACTGATAGGGCTTTTGCTAGCCAGAGTCTGTCGATCCCTTTTGGGAGGTTCACACGGAAATATTGTGGGACACCTAAGTGCCTTAAGTGTTTCTACAGTGGGAAAACTTCCTGCCCTGGCCAGATCAATCTGCAGACAGTAATGCATATTTGCAGTTTTTCCTGTGAGGATTCATTCTATTACCTTCTTGTCATGTGGGCGCACCAATGACTGGGCTGAGAGAACCTCTCCAGTGGTAAATTTGAGAGAGGATTTGCCTGCATTCAGGTTTTAATTCTGCCCGTGGAGGTGTAGCACTTTCCATTCTTCCCAGTGATTCTGGGAGGGAAGCTGACTGCTGGGTACAGATGGAGCTGGGGGTGTGTGTGTCAAGAAGTTGTAGACAGCCGGCAGATTGGATGAGTTTATTTTAAAGTCTAAAAATGGGAGTAATTTTGTATTGCTTGAGCAAAAGCAGACAATTTTCACACTAATGTTTTAAAAGAAATCCAGCAGAGCAGTGTTCTGACATTCAGTGATTGATGAGAGAGCTGTTATGACTAAACAACTCAAAGTGTAATGAAATGAGTCAAAGAGTAAAAGAAACAAACTCTTCATTCGCTGGAATGACAAGTAAAGGACTGTGAAGTCCTCTGTATTTGGGCTGGAATGATAGTTAGATAATGCAGTGTAATGGAAGGTATTTTTGACATTTTGAAGTATTTGGGCTGGAATGATAGTTAGATAATGCAATGTAATGGAAGGTATTTTTGACATTTTTAATGGGGATGTAAAATCCTGTTTAACTGGTTAACCAGTTAAAAGCGGGGTCAGACAGGAGAGCATGTGGGTCCGCCGTGGCCAGCGGCTGCTCTGATCATCTGGAGCAGCCCCTGCCTACGACACTCCTGGGCCCCATGGGTTGCTGCTCCAGTCCCCACCGGTTAACCAGATAATCTTTTACTTTCCTAATCCTGAATGGGTCTGTCAAATGGGATAACCTAACGTATTTTTTTTCAGCTTCTACAAAATCTCATTTGAGAAGGAATGTTTCCATGACTTTGTTTTGAAATACTACCGTTTTCCAGCGTTGTATGAAAACCAGAAGGTGACTCTCACACTGAAAAAGACCATTCTGGTTTCTCTCTGCCCAAGCTGAGACAAGTGCCAAGAGTAAACAAATAGCACTTTGGAATTCACTGTAATGGACTTTGGAATATACAGGTTGGACCTCCCTGGTCTGGTACCCTTGGGTCACAGATCAGGGATTTTGACTCCCTGGTCTGGTACCCTTGGGTCACATATCAGGGATTTTGCCAGACCAGGGCAGGTCATATCTGGCTCCCTTGCTACTGTCCCCAGCTCTGGACTGGCCGTTGGCCTCCTAGCCAGCTGTCCCTCTGCTGCTGGCCTGCCATTCCCCACGCCACTTCCTAGCCATGCTGGGCAGGCCAGCTTCTGGCGCGCTGGGCTCTTGGCCCTGCCGGGCAGCCCAACTCTGGGGTGCCAGGTAGCTCAACAGCAAGGAGCCGAGCTCCCAGCCCTGCCTGCCCATGGGGCTCCCAGACGCCAGCCTTCCACTGAGACTCTCTGATCCTGGAACATCCAGGATGTTGCCAAACCGGAGAGTCACCGATCCTGGAACATCCAGGATGTTGCCAAACCAGAGAGTCACCGTTTACAGAGGTTCAAGCTGTATTTCATAAAACCTTGTTTAAAACCTTGTGATGGGCAAACCATGTTGTTGGTGCATAATAACAAAGAGATGCAAGCAACATGAAACTCATGCAAGAAGTGGCAATGAATTAGGGCCAACCCTTATTCCTGTGAGTTGTACTTAATCTCATTGAATCCATTGTAAGGACTAATAGACAAGTAAGGATTTGCAGAATGGGACCCAGTGATTTAAAATCCACTCTCTCTTCCTAAAGACCAAGCATTTGGGCTCTGTATGTGGAGAGAAGAGTGGATGTGGCAATCCAATCAATCCCCGCAACACAGAGCCACAGTGCACTCCCTCCCCCCCTCCAACTGCTACTGTTCTAGCCCATGGACTGAGATAATAGCCACTGGCCCTCTGCATCAACTGCATGGAGGTACTGAGGCCCCTGAATCAGTGTAAATGTGGCTCTGCAGCTCACCCTCACTGTGATCTTGCGTGCCAGCCTGTTCAGAGATTAGAGATGTTAAAATGCGTGTATTCCGTTAAATGTGTAACTGCTGAAAATTTCATCCGTTTCACATTTACATGTGGGGCCTGCCACCTCCCCTCTCCACACACCCCCTGTGCTACTCTCTCTCTGTATCGGGGCAGCAGAGAAGGGTGAGGGGCTGTGTGTAACTGTGAAGGTTAACCAGTGAGCCCAGGCTTATCGGTTAACTGTTTACACTTTCACATTCCTATCAGGAATGCTACGGATAAACTTTCCATAATGGATAGGAGATATGCAGGCACCCTTGCACAGCCATGTTACCTGTATTCTCTCAATGCAGCCTCCCTATGGGATCTAAGTAAGGTTGTTAAGGACTAGTCGACTAATGCAAATGCTTTCTGGGGAAATGCCGCGTGGAACCTGTAGTTAGCTGTGAAGTCCCCAGTCTGGGGAAATGCTGTGTGGAACCCATGGTCAGCTGTGAAGTCCCCAGCTGATCCTGGGTTCCGTGGAAATGCCTCGCGGAGCCCATGATCAGCTGAGGAGTCCCCAACTGACTCCGGGCTCCGCATGGCATTTCAAATCGGCAGCGCAACATGGAGCCCGGGGTCAGCGGGGGACTCTGAGTCCCCCACTGACCCTGGGTTCCATGAGGGCACTTCTGTTTTGAAATGCACAAGAGCACCCGCTGGAGATTCTTGTACATTTCAAAGCTGGCACTGGCGTGCAGCCCAGAATCAATGGAACTTCCCACTGGCCCCGGACTGCACACGGAGTTCCTCATTCCTACTTTGAAATGTACAAGAGCCCCAACAGGGGCTCTTGTACATTTCAAAGGAGGAATCCAGAAGTGCCTATTGACTAGTCGAGTAGTCAATAGAAATTCCATTGAATGCTCGACTAGTAAATTAACCGATATTTTAACATCCTTAGGTCTACGTGGGTCTTGCTCTGAATTTCACCCAGGCTAATGTTTTTAGCTCGTCTAAATGGTTTTTTCTGTATTCAAAAAGGAATGCAGCCCAACACCTTTCATATGCTGGAATGTTGCTATTACAATAGAAAACTTCTTTCAAGCAGACTCGTCTAAATGGTTTTTTCTGTATTCAGAAAGGAATGCAGCCCAACACCTTTCATGTGCTGGAATGTTGCTGTTACAATAGAAAACTTCTTTCAAGCAGCGGAAAAAGCGGTAGCATTTAAAGGACCTTAATCATCCTTGTTTTATATTCTCTGACTGTGGAATATATGTAAGTCTTGTATAGAGTTGACAGCTGAACAGTTGACAATTCATCATAGCCATAGAGTGCATCAGAGGGCACTCTTTAAAACAAATTACACACACAATGAAGGATTGAGGATTCGTTTAACAAATTACACACACAATGAAGGATTGAGGATTCATTTCCTCATAGTGTGTGTGTGTGTGTGTGTGTGTGTGTGTGTATTGACCTACTTTTTTTTTTTTAAGTCTCTAGTGATTTTTTGGGTGTCTTTAATTTTTGAGTATTGAACTTAAAATTCCCCCGCCTTAAAAGGGCCTAATTTCTTCAAAAGTGCTGTGAAAACTGGGTGACTCTAATTGACTTCTAGTCACTTTTTTAAATTGAGGCCATTGTAGTTATCCAAATAGAAACATAATCAAGATACTGGACTTAATGCCTTCTGCTCTCTCCTTCGGATCTGAGACAGACCCTAGAGCCTTGACTTTACATCTCATTAACAGCACAGGGATCTCCTAACATTCTGGGGCAATGATTCAGAGAGAAGGAGAAAAAGGTAATTGGAAAATGGTATTTAAGTGGAAAGAAAAGGAAATGTCATCTTGTTTTGTGTTTGTCTGTCTATGGCTGTTCTAGGCATAGCCCTTTTATACCTACAACTACACCGAGTCACAGAAGACCAGAAGTACTTGCAGCGATCCCTGGATTACGTGAAGAGAATACTTCGTAATCTGAGTGGCCGAAGGGTTACGTTTCTCTGTGGTGATGCTGGACCCTTGGCAGTCGGAGCAGTAGTGTACCACAAACTGAAGATTGACAGTGAGTCTAAGGAGTGTATCACAAAGTAGGTATCTGATGATAGTGGAAAAAGCTGTAAATTTACTCAGGAGCCCTTTGTATATGATCAAAGACCAGTACTTTACTAAGTGACTGCTGGAGTTTTCATATTACAATTAGGGATGTTAAATATCAGTTAATTGAATGGTTGATTAACCTCATGAATTCTTCTTATCAGTTAGTCAGCTATTCTACAGTCCCCGGGGGTGGGGCCAGAAGTCATTGCGCTGTAGCCCCACTGTCAAGGAGCCCCCTGCTACTCTATGCTGTTGCCTCTGTATCAGAGGCAGCAGCGCAGAGTGCCAGGCTGGTCCAGAAGGGGAGGCAGTTTAAAAACCAGCTCCCCTTGCGGACCAGCTGCCTGTTGCCTTATGCTGCTGCCTCTGATACACAGGCAGCAGCACAGGGTGGCAGCAGCCCTTGTCCCTAGGAGGGGCTGAGTTCCCGTACCCAGCACGAGCCGGAACTGAACTGGGCTGCCTGCCCGCGTGGCTCCTAATACACTTATTATGCAGCATTGCAGTGGGGTAGGTCCTGGACCCGGCAAGAGCTGGGACTGAGCTGGGCTGCTGGCCAGCCTGCTAAAAAATGTACTGGCAGGTGGCGGAGGGGGGATGCTTTTGCTTATCGGTTAATTGGCCATACTATTACATCCCTAATTACATTAGCACCTCAACATTTAAAGGCTGACTTGGGAAAGGCACTCTTGATTTCTGTCCAAGAGCTGCATTATTTTTATATCTGTGTCCTGTGAAATCATATTCTGATCCAGAGGTTTTTTTGGAGGCTTTTTCAATCCCTGCTTCTATGCAGCTGATGTCCCAATGAGGGTTATAACAACCAGTGTGCGATGCAATTTCCAATCTATACCACAACTGCACCTGTTAGCATTCTGCCTGCACGCATTACTGCGCTAGAATGTGCAGATTAACTCTTGAGGACTGGTTCCACTTTGGCATATCCAGTAGTTTTATATTTAGAAGTTTAATCAGTTTCTTTCTAATCCAGGATCTCAACGAGATTAATCTCTGCAGTCGCTTTGATATGACTATCTGTTTTTGTGGGTTTTTTTAAAAAACAACAACAGCTCATATGTCAGAATAAATCTCAGTGTCAGATACCGTTCTGGATACAATTGTAGTGTTGTTGTTTTCACACAGCATGAAAATAGTCTTCATGAAAGAAGATTAAGAGCAGTTGCTTTTCTAATTAGCCTTTGCTTGAGAATTCTCTTCCGGAGGAAGATTCAAAATCTAATTAGATTTCAGTGTTTGTTACTTTTTTAAAAAGGTGTAGATACACTCAAATACCCTGTAGCACCTTATAGACTAACAGTTGTATTGGAGCATAAGCTTTCGTGGGCAAAGACCCACTTCATCAGATGCATGTAGTCTGACGAAGTGGGTCTTTGCCCACGAAAGCTTATGCTCCAATACAACTGTTAGTCTATAAGGTGCTACAGGACTCCTTGTCGCTTTTGCAGATCCAGACTAACACGGCTACCCTTCTGATACTCAAATACCCAAGTGATTGGTACAGTCTGAATAAAGCGACTATTCATGGATTTTGTTTTGCCTTTCCTCGTCGCTCTGAGATGTGATCCGAAGAAATGTTCTTGCTCAAATGTAGAATTTTCAATTAAAATTTTTTTTTACTATGAATCTTAATTCTGGTAGCTTTATTCACAAATACATCAAAGGGTATTAAAGCTTTTTGCAAATGGGTTGTTCAGAGGGTTAGTAGTGAGATCAAGCAAGAGCCTTTCAAGTCACTGATTCAGATGCAGCATAGACTCTTAGCAACTATGACTATGTGAATTGAGTTTTTGGTCTAAACCCAGAGGACACAAGTTCAAATTTAAATTACACCCACATGTGTACGCACACAGTTTAAACTGACACTTTCTCGGCAGTTCAGTAGAGAGGACAGGATTGAAATGGCATGGAAAATGATTCACCGTCTGCCATTTCAGAATTGAGACTACTGCTACTGCCTCCCACGCTGTACATTGTGTGTGTGCGCGTTCATGCGTGTCCATGCATGTGCATTGCAGGCTTCACCCCCTAGGGCTGTCAGTCTTGCCACCTATATAATCCCGAAAGTCAAACAAGCTCTTCGGTAAAATAGCAAGTCCTTGACAATGGTTTGATGCTGCATTTTTCACCTAAACTCATGAGCCAAACCCTGAGATCCTTCAGGCAAAATTACCACCAGCTTTTTACTATGGGTTTCCCAATTTGGCCTTTCAATGGATGGCTGTTTGAAATTCTAAACAATCCTTACATAAATTATTATACAGTAGTCACCAGTAATATTTAAGTTGGGATTTTACAGTGTCAAAGGTCTAGTTGTCTGGTAACTGTAAATGTTATTCCCAAATCGGAGCCAGTAAAATCTCCTGGGTTATATTCCCATCTCTCCTATTTTGACACATGACCTCTGGCAAGTTGCTTTTGGGGCCTCAGTTTGCCATCTAATACTTGTCTACTCCCAAGGGTATTGTAAGGTGAATTGTTCTTTGTCAGGGGTTTTGAGATCCACTGGTGAGGGGGACTGTAGAAATGTAAATTTTTCATAATAATGAAGCTATCTTAAGTGCAGCAGCTGGAGAAACTGATTTTAGGGCAGCAAAGGGCTAGTGGATTGGGCACAGAGCTAGGAGTGTGGAGACTTTGGGTTCTGTTTCTAAGCCTACCACTGTCTTGTGTTGTGGCCTTGGGCAAGTCACTTAAAGGTTATGAACCTCAGTCTCCCCATCTGATGTGGGGCTGTAACACTTCCCTGCCTTCAGTTTGGGATCTGCAGATGAAAAATGCTTTTATTGTATAAAGAGTTATTATTAAGTCATCAACAACTGCCACCAGAGAAAGGTGTAAAAAAAAAAGTCTGTTTTGATTACATTCTCTGAGCCAAAAACAAAATACGTGAGGCATTTTTAGCAAGCTCTCATTACCAGTTGATTGCATTGGGTGGCATAGTGTACACAGAAGGAGAATTCAGGATGTCCTAAGAAGAAGGTACAGTTTTTCTTTTCCTTTCTGTTTTTTTTTTTTTTGATCCAGGTTGTTGCAGCTCCAGAGAACCATTATAAGCACAGACTCTGAACTTCCAGATGAGCTTCTTTATGGCAGAGCAGGTTACTTGTATGCTTTGCTCTATTTGAATACAGAAATTGGTCCGGACACTATACCACAGTCTATTGTTAAAGAGGTAGGAGGACACTTTGTATTCTCAGGTACTACAGTGTCTTTAAGGCTGAACCATATATATTTCTTCACTTAAAATATAGGAAAGAAAATATGAAGCAGACTTCCTTCTAACCTGAAAAATAAAGACTTCCTGGAGTAGTTTAGTGGGGAAAAACACTTGGGACCTGATTCTGCTTTTATTTACCCTGCTATAACTTCAGTAGAGTTACACCTAACTTATACCAGCATGAGGTCAGAAACAGGTCCTCTCTGTTTAGCTCTTGCCTGGGAAGGACTTCACTTGTCAGTCTAACTTTTTGTATAATAGTTCACATATATAGTAGTAAAGCTAGATGCAATGAAAGGAAAGAGGATATAAAATGTGTGAATTCTTTTACAGAAAAAAATCTGTACTTAAGTATACAACTCAATTTGTAAAATGTTATACCTTTAAACTAAACCTTAATTATATGGTGGGGCTGGAAGCACTTCCCATTAAGATTGCCTGACACTTCCCATTGTAAGCCTGTTTTTCAGTTGCTGTCAGACTTTAACCAATTGAGCTGAAACGTGCACCAAAGAATTCTCATCTATACTTTAAAAGCTCTAGTTCCTCCATGCTTTGGAGCTGGGACTTGAAATTTGGCATGTGGAGAGGCCTTTGTTGCCCTTTGTAGTTCCTGTGAAAATTTGAGGGTCAGTATGTGTGGGAGAGGCTGAGACTGAGGCAAGAGCTGGGACTAAGAACCAGTGGGAAAGAAAAGTTGGCTGGAGGAGAGACGTGCTGAGAAGTTGAAAAATATGGTGAGAACTAGGACTGGTTGGTGATTACTTGGGGGTGGGAGGGAGGGAGATGGTAAGACTCTGAAATTGGTGGAGAGCCCAGTGAAGGAGATCGGGACTGAAAGCCATTGGGAACATGTGTGTGGGTAGACTAGAGGCCTCAGTAAGGGAGAGAGACAGACCTATCAGCTAAGGAAAGAGGAGGGGGAATTGGGACTCATTGGCAAGTAGTCTGGGACTGAATATGGAACCAAGGGTGGGGAAGAGGCCTAGTTGGAGGGGATGGAGCAGAAGGGGACGTTCTGAAGAGGGGCTGGGGAATTGCCAGAATATAGGGTTGCCAGGTATCTGGTTTTCTACTGGACAGTCCAGTACTTGCGCCCTTTTTTCTGGTAGAAAAATTCAGAAAATACCGGACATGTGCAGTGTCCAGTATTTTCTGAATTCCCAGCTGGGTGCCAGACGGAAGCCTGGCAGGGGCAGGGGAGCGACTGGGAGGCAGGGCATGATTGGCACTGGGAGTCCTGTGGTCACGTGCAAAAGTGGGGGAGGGGAGGCTGGGATTCCCCCCTCCCGGCTTCTGCACGCAACCACAGGCTCCCAGCGCCAATTGCGGCCCCCACCTCCCAGCTGGGAGCCTCTGGCTGTGTACAGAAGCCGGGCGGGGGAAGGGCTACTAGCCCATCCCGGCCCGGCTTCTACTAGCAACTTGTCTCTCAAGGGAATGCCTGCCAGGGGCGTGGCCCCTTGGACTCCGGCTGCGGCCAGTGGCTGCACTCCCCGCCTCCTTCCCCCCATCACCAGCTCTGCTTCCCGCCCACCTTCCTCCGCCCCCCCTCCTCCCATCCAGCCCTGTGGCCCCTGACCCTCCTCAGCTCTGCTTCTCCCCCTCCCCATTCCTCCTAACCCTGACCTGGCCTCCTTCTGGCCAGCAACACCCTCCCCCCATCCCCATGATCAAGGGTGTCCGTTTTTTTGGCAGGGTCTACCTGGTACCCCTACCAGAAAAGCTTGTGCTCACTACAGATCACACCCCTCCAAAGTTTGGAATGCAACTGAGTGTTCCGGAGTCTCACCATTCCTTGGTTGTCAGGAAACGTGTCTGCAAGCCACCGATGAAGAGTCACATCCCTCACACAACTGCTGCTATCCATTACTCCATAGTTCAAATGGCAGAGGTCTGTGTGTTGGAGCTAAAGATTCCAAATCTGTAGCTGATCAATGTGGATATCAGTATGGTACTACCACATGATGGAGTTTCTTTGATCCTGCCCCTGCCTCCCTCCAGTTTTGTTTTAAAAAAGCCTTAGGGAATTGCATCCAAACAAGCAATGTTAAAAGAACATCAATAAGGTTTCCAATTAAAGTTGTCTTAGTTAAGGATTAGAGGACAGTTCTTTAGGATCACTTTTAGCTGTCTTTACCTCAAATCCATCCTGTTCTTGCATCCCATGCCTCATTCACTGTACACCTTCCAACTTCTACAACAAATGAGGCAGGTGACCTATACACAACAGCCTCTGTCATTACACAACCCTGTTGATCTCAGCACAGATTCAGCCTGTGCACTGAATGAGGCAGGGGTCCTTTAGAAAAAAAAAAGTGATTATGTAACTAAAGACTATATTATAATACACATGCACAAGGGGGCATGAATTAAGGTTAGGGCTTTTTACTGTATGGAAAAAAATAGTTTTCCTGACATTAAAAAAAACTATGGCTTAATGGGATAAGAAAATATGACATGAGGTAGGGCAGAGATAGACTTGTATATCATGTCAAGTTCTTTAATGCATTCTCTTTAGTATTGTGTCTTAAAATTCTTTGTAAAGTAGTCCTCTGTAGAAAAAGAAAACCATATTAAAGGCAAGGGTGTGTTCTATTTCCACATTAGGTGGTGGATGCCATTATTGAGTCGGGTAAAAACTTGTCAAAGGAGGAACGCAAGGCTGAACGCTGCCCTCTGTTGTACCAATGGCACAGGAAGCAGTATGTTGGAGCAGCCCATGGCATGGCTGGGATTTATTACATGCTGATGCAGGTAGGAAAAGTAGTGTTCCAAGGTAAGGTTCTTTTGTATCAAACAGTAGTTAGAGTTTCACTCACTTGACAATAATGGTCCCTAAAACACAGTAATGTATGAACATTGTTAACGGCTTCATTGTGCATGTCACTCTTCCAACATAGTTCTTGGATCTTAATCTTCAGTTGTCATTTATCTCGCCTCTTTTCCTTTTTCATGGCATTGATCTTCCTGGCAGAAATGCTCCCTTTCTCTGTTCTGCCTGCGATCTTGCCTACACCAACCACCAGTTTGAGTTTATTTCCCACTATCTCAAAATTCCAGAAAACTACACTGTCTAAAACACCTTCATTCTGTTGATCTCTAGCTTGATTTATTCTGATGTTCTCCACTTCCTTGGGTTGTTGCCCACAACTCTGCCCTGCCTGTTGCCCTTAACCAACTTGCTGTCATCTTTACTCTCCCTTTTTCCTGACCCTCAGATGCCATCCTCCCCAAGTCCCACAGTCACTCTCAGGGGAAGCTGACATTTGAATACAGGCAGTTTATGCCTCATCTTCATATTAGTGATGAGATCTGGAAATAATTTTATCAAATGTAATTGTACAAAGGCGGCTGTTGGGCTGCAAAGTCTAATTTATCCCCCTCTCTCATTTCCAAAGGTGCTGGCAGTCTCTGTTTTGCCTCAAGTAATAGCTAGATTCTTATTTGTTCATGCAGAGCACTTTTTCCCAAGCCAAAGTGCAAGGAATTTGCTTCCTTTCAGTCTTAAAGAGTAATCTAATTTACTGTGTCCTCTCTCTGACCTCCTCAAGAAAACACTTTTTCCCAAGAAGTTTCTTCATCTTTTCTTCCCTGGTCCTGTTTGGCCCCTCTAATAACATCCTTTCCCTTAGGAAAACTGCCACCTCTTCCCTACCCTTTCTTCTTTCTTTGCTGTTTCAGGTGGTATTGCTGGTTGTAAGTGGCATCTACTCACATTATAAATCTAGGCAGTGCTGTAATTTTTTCCTCTGTAAGACTGCTGCTTTGACAATTACTATAAAACTGTTATTTATAAAGTTTTAGGTTTATGCCTTTTCACTGTTTGTTAAATGTTGACTCAAAGTTCAGTCACTTCCTGCAGAAGGAACAAGATGATAAGTGGGATTTAGCCAGTACTAGGAGTACATTTTGGCCAAGAACGTAGGAGGAGTTTTATTTCTTTCTTTATTATAATCCTACTTTGTATGTACATACTACCTGTGATCTGAGGAACACTAGCCCTTTACAAGCAGTTCCTCACAACATCATGACAAGGTTAGTAAGTATTAGGGATGTTAGAAAGTGGCTGTTTTACTAACTGTGTACATTTCTTAGTGTTTGCATGATTACTTGATGCGCCTGGGGGCAGGGCCAGCAACCAGTGCGCTTCCAGATCCACTCCTAGGAAGCCCCTGTCACCCTGCACTGCTGCCTCTATATCAGAGGTAGCAGCTTGGGGTTGCAGGCGGAAGCCAATCTGCAAGGGGAACTGATTTTAAAAATCGAGTCCTCCTCAGACAGAGGCTACTCCAGCATTCCACAGAGCAGCCTTTGTTCGCAGGGAGCTTGGGCCCCCCCAAAGACGGGGGCTGCTGCTGCTACCCCACGCTGCTGCCTCTGATATAGAGGCAACAGCACGGGGTGTCAGCTGGCTCCCGAGTACTCTTCATGGAAAACTAGGACCAGGGGTTGGAACTGAGCCAGCATGCCAGTCCGAGTTTTAAATGCAGAGCTTGTGTGGGTGGGTGGGTGGGTGGGGCGGTTAACCAGGACTGTTAACTGACAAGCAGTTGCTTTTCAGTTAAACAGTTAGCTGGCTAGCCACTACTATCTCTAGTAAGTATTACTATAGGTGGATGAGCCAAGGCACAGCAATATTAAGAACAGTGAGCCAGTGGCAGATCTGAGATTTTAAACCAAGAATTTCAAGG